TTGTAAACAAAGCACTTAGAAAGTATATAAGTTGATGAAAAATATTGTAACTGTTATAAGTTTAGAGGCTGTCCGCTAGATGGCATTAAAACTAGTGGCTCCCTCTAACGCCAAAGTTGCACACTGCAGAGAAGCGCGGACTGGTTTTCGAGTATTTCTGCTCGACCGCGATATCGTGGCCCCATGCCCCACCAAACTCAGTGACAATGTGGCGCCACCATCGTTTAACTATATGTGAGTATGGTTTCAAACATGGCAAAAATCGAAACCAGTGATCCGGTATTGATGGTGGCTCCGCCCTGTTAATGTCACGGGTGTATTGGGTTTTTAAAAGCCTTCCGTAAAACTTATTATCGTCGCGGCGCCGTCCCGCCGGTACCTTGTACTCCACATGATGTGTTTTACTCTCACTTATAATGTTACTTAGATGGCGCTACTTTATTGGGTGAAGTGTGCTGTAACAAGTGCCATCTACCGACTAGTTAAAAAACACATTTGATGTGACGACTAGAATTAAGTAAATGGGTATTTTTCTTAATTTTTTTCGAAGTCAATTTTTTTACTGATTCGTGATCAGAATAAGCTAATTAATCAACACCCTGTATAGATAGGTCAGCCGAGCTAGGATGCGTGCACGTGCCGTGATATAAATACTGTATCGACGTCAAAATGTATGGGCAAAATCGGTAAAATGGCGTGATAACCGCTTATCGCGGCGCGCATCCTAGGCCTACAGAACACTAAAATAAAGTTAATCTGTCGATTTGGACAATTTTATTTTTTCCGAGCCTAGTAACGCCATCTAGCGATTCTGTTACGCGAGGCTTGTATCAATGTATGAACGTTTAGCAACCTATCCTTTCATAATATTTATTAATGGTTGTATTTATACTTTGATAGAACGATAGATGGCAGTACTAAGCAATAAACAGGCTTCAGACGAATCCGAAACACGGGCTTATTCCACTATGTTCACCCTGATACCGGAATACCGTTCACCCGGGATATTCTGTGCCCTGGGTTTTTGTGTCTTCACCATCATGAGGAGGCCTTCGTTCACCTTATTTATAAAGCAAGCTTATACTATGAAATTAACAGGCAGCTTAATATTTAATAGATTCACAAAATTTATAAAAAAAAGTCGCCTTCCACCTGTATGACTCAATTCCAACGCGAACAAAGGCGTCCACGTATATTACACCGCCTTAGTCTCTCTGCTCGACCTGTGGTTGACTGGCAGATAATGCCACCTGGCATTAAGTCCGCCACTGTACAGTTATATGTGCAAAAGTGTAAATAAATAAATAAATAAATAAATGTCACGTCACATCAATTCACCTGCAAAATGAACCTGGATGAAATGGTTCAGAGGTGATACCTAGGAGAACACCAAAAATTCCACTCTCTTCGCCCAGGTGAACATAGTCATAGACATGTGGAATACGGAATACCTACGGCAGAACGGGCAAAAGACTGCAGCTCGCATTATGAAACGACACTCATGTATCCACACTGTGATTGATTTACTATTGGAATGCCACCAATCATAGACGTAGAGACATAAGTTACTTCGTTTGAGATTGAATCGAATTTTGAGCGCGTTTCGTAATACGGGTTACCGGCACAGGATCACAGACAGGGAGGTCTTCGAACATTTGCATAGGATTGCAGGGTAAGTACTAAGTATTTGAATTTTTCCCATCACATCACGTAACGTTGGCGTCAAATAGTTCGTGACACCCAAAGCGGCCAAAAATTGACAACGCAACCATAGAAGACAGGTTGAGAAACTTTTTAACGATTTTGGGTGTTACGAATAGCCCTATTTGATGCTGACTGTACTGGCTCATATGTTAATATTACTTAGTTTTATTTATCTTTTATAGAGACATGGACCTAATTTGATTAATACCTGATTTTAATTAATGAATTATCTACTCGTACAGTAACATTAATATTATTAAGAGGAAAGATTTGATTGTTTGTATTGAACAGGCTCCGGAAACTACTGGATTGATTTAAAAATATTTCTTTCACCATTCACATAGGTAGTTGTAGTTGTTGCCAGGTTGGCTAGTGTTTTAAATATGTACATTTTCATGTAAAAATAAATGTTGCCGAGACGAGACACAAAGTTCAGGTATCAGGTCCCATGTAGAGTCAAGCTTGTAACTCTATTCGCCTTAACTTCACAATACGTTATGGCTTCAATCATTACTACAAGAACTAAATTGTGACATTGAACGGTGATTATACTTTTTGCCTCATCCCCAGCAAGTGACTTATAATAAATAGCGTTTGGTCTTCCTACAGAAGTCAAAGTCAATTTATTTATTTAATAGTGCTTACAAATCGTCAGATTATGTATTTAAATGAACATAGCTATTGTAGATACTAATGAAAATTAAAGAAAAATTGTCAATAATTTCATACTTTTTTTTACTTCACCTCCTATATGTATTTCCCGCGGTTTCACCCGTATTAATTTCGGTCTGTCTCAGAATGTCTTAACCGCTTATGAGTGCCATTGATCATCAGGCATAATGTAAACGTACAAAAATACAAATATTTCCTCTTTATAATACCTACTAGTCTATACAGGGTGAAATTTAAATCGTCAGTATCCTTTTCAAATAAGACTTTTCTCTCGATACATAGTGTACATTCCCCAAATATGAGACAAATTCAATGAATGTTTTAGTCTTTATTTTTACTATTTATTTGTATTAGTGTGCTCTAATAAAAAGTATAAAACGATTATTCAGTCAACACCACATACAGTCAGACTATACACACATTCCATCGAAATAATATGCCACGGTGTTCAGGTTGATGTGGTACGATTTTAATTATTACCATTTTAAGTCATTGGAGAGATTAAAGATATGAGATAGAGTTTTATTTTAAAAGGATACCGACGATTTCAATTTCATCCTCTAAATATACAAGCGAACATATTTAACAAAGAATACGAACAATTAATTAAAGAAATACATATTTTTCGATACAAAATTATTCATGGATATTTTGTATGGGAAAATACATATTTCTTTAATTTAACAGTTTTCTTCGATGCTCCTATGTTTCGAATAGTTATTCTGCTACGGGAAGGAGCCAAATACAATAGGATAAGGTGGATGTTTTGAAAACACATTAGTTAGCACAGCTAGTATAAACACTTTTGGTATAATTTAGTTTCCAGTCCAATTTCAATACTTATTTCACAAAACGTTTAGGATTTCAATTATGTGTTTATATAAGAATATTTTTATTAACTTTAAAAACCGATGCACACTGTCTTTGTAAACATTACACATTTTACAATCAAAACTCATAATCGGTCAAAATTCACTAGATCCCGAAATGCAATATTCTACAAGTACACATTAAACGGGCAAGCGCTTCAGAGAACCGAATATATACGAGATCTTGGCGTCATTCTGGACCCTAAGCTTCTTCTTGACAGGCATATTGACTCAATAACTTCTAAAGCCACAAAAACCCTTGGATTCGTAATTAGACTCACGAAAAACTTTAAAATGGCTAAGTCACTTAAAATATTATATTGTTCACTGGTTAGAAGCCAGCTTGAATATGCATGTCAAGCATGGAATCCCCAATATGATTATTACATACAAAAAATTGAAAAAATTCAGAAAAAGTTTCTTAGATTTTTAAACTTCAAACACCGGATAATGGGCACGACTTACGAGGCTGACTGTAAGCATCATCATCTACTTCCATTAAAACTGCGAAGAGAAGTCGCTGATCTTACCTTCCTCCATAACCTAATTAATGGTAAAATAGACTGCAGTGAGCTTCTTTCGCGAATCAATTTACAGGTGCCAACTCGTGCCAATGTCAGGAGAAATTATCTTAGACTTCACGTTGATGCATGTACCACTAATTATGGACGCAATTCTTTCTTTAACAGAGTTTTCAAAACTTTTAACAGCAATTATTCTGAAAATGTTGACCTTTTTCATATTGTGAGACCAAACTACTTCAAAAATCAAAGTAATAAAGAATTCTTTGGCGACACTACTTAGCACTCTCCCGGTGAAAAGTCGAAGTATCTGTTTACTGCTTAATATTCTGCTATTTTGGTATGGCTTTAGTAGGTATTTTCTGTATTGTTTTAACTTTTTTCATATATTGTAGTTATACTGCATGCTAAATGGTTTTGTTTTGGATTGTATCTTGATATGCTATTTGTGAAAACTATGTAAGGCATTTTTGATCCTAACCGCCTCATCTATTAATAATGCATATATGCTGTTTGTTTTCCATAAAATAAATAAATAAATAAATAAATAAATAAATAAAATGACTTTTGACTGCCAAAATCAGGCATAAGTGGTTTTGACCGAAGCTCTTACTTAGTTAAAACCACTTTTGACTGATTTTTGCAGTTAAAACGTTTTTACTGAGAGCATCGGGGGTTTGATTTTTGCAGTCTAAGTGATTTGACGGGATTATGGTGATTTACAGGGCTCATTTTTCGGGAATGTATTATTATTTATATCTTTTTTGTACCACATGAAGCAATAAAGTTAGTATGATTATGATTAGTAAATATTTGTATTGAACGGCTCTTTTAATCGTGGTACTTATGATAGTCCTATCCATAGGACCGGTTTTACTCTATTGATTTCATCGGGGTTTTTAGACTTATGGCAGAGGTCTGACTAAGTAATAAACAGATTGTAGTCCAAATGTGAAACAACATTACTTATTTTAGTTCCATTTTACAATAGTTATAATGGAAAAGGAAATGGGTGGAAGGGTTATAATTTAAGGAAAATTTATGGAATATAAATAAAACACAGAAGTATATTCTCTATTATGTTTTACTTTTTAACATATAGATAGTTTTCTACACATCCACCTCACATACGCTTCATGCGCTAACTGATATGAGCTCTGTACATCACTGGCGGCGCGCGGTCGCGGGCGCCCCGCGCGGGCCCGGCCGGGGCTGCCGAGCGGGCCGAGCGGGCCGAGCGGNCCGCGTCCCGGGCGTCCGGGGCGCGCCCGCCCTCCAACGTATATAAATAAAAATTCACATAATAATATAAACTTACTCACTAATTTACAGACACGGGCGCCGGCCGAGCGTCGCCCTCGCACATACACCTATATACACTAACGGTCCGGTCTGTACACGCGGCGCCCGGGGACGCCGATTATTGCGATGCGTACTATTTACAAGACGATATGTGTGTCGCTGGCGCGGCCGGGGCGCGTCAGTCGCGGGGCGGCGCGCGCGCCAGCAGCGCCAGCGGCTGCAGCGGCTGCAGCGCGTGCAGCGCGTGCGGCGCGTGGTGCAGCGGCAGCAGCACGCCGCCCGCGCCGCCCGGGCTCGCGCCCGCCTCGCCCGCCGGCGGGTTGATGCGCTTCTCCTGCGGACAACGGACACGGTTGAGCGACCCGTCGCGAGAAACTTTTTTCGGTCCCGGTAAACGCCCGACACTTTTTGGCCGAGATGTCCGGCAACGTGGCGTCGTCGATGTGGCGATCGAGACGAATTTCAGATTTCAAAGTCGAGGCGCAGATGCACCCCGGTTGGACGTTAACTGAAAACGAAACTGACGCCACGTTCCCGCGCACGCTCGATTCGAGCCACAAAATGTCGGTCGTTTCCGGGGATCCTCGATCGATAGGCTCACCGACGGTCGTACCTTCGGCGGGAGAGAAAACTGGACATTTATTTCGTTAGAGATATCTTATCGTATCGATATCTTATGCCTTAATTCTCCTCGTCGGAGCGAGCCGGAGCCTGCGGCGCCTCACCTTCTGCCGGCGGTTGCAGAACCAGACGCGCACGACCTCCTTCTCCATGCAGAGCGCGTCGGCGAGCGCGGCGATCTCCTCGCTGGTGGGCTTGGGGTTGTGCACGAAGGCCTTCTCGAGCGCCACGCGCACGCCGGACTCGATGGACGTGCGCTTCTTGCGGCGCCGGCCCACGGCCTCGGCCAGCCCCGCGCCGAGTCCCGCGCCCGCGCCGCCGCCGCCGCCCGCCAGCGACGAGTCCGCGTCCTCCAGCCACTTCTGCAGCAGCGGCTTCAGCTTGCACATGTTCTTGAACGACAGGTTCAGCGCCTCGAACCGCGATATCGTCGTCTGCGAGAAGTCGTTGCCGTACAGCTTGCCCATCGCGAGGCCGACGTCACCCTGGGTGAAACCTGCGGGAGAACCATTCTTGTCACAATAGAATAGAATAGAATAGAATAGAATTTCAATATTTTAAGGTTTTTTTTAGTATACTAGACAATCAAAAATGTAATGTAATCGAAACGTGATATTTTGCTTTCGCGTTCTAGTTAACTAATCTCCTGAATATAAATTAAAATTTTCGTTGCGATTATAGTCGCTTCTCAAACTAAATTTTAAATAAATAAACAACTTGAAAAAGTCGGACAGCCTGAGGCGAGAATCTCCTGAAAATTATCTATTCATCACGGTGATACTTCGTCGGACATTACATTCGATCAAATCGTATAGGGACTCGCGGTCGACACAGTAAAGGTGGGAAAAGTGTGCACGCAGGCAAGCAAGGAGCGGCACCCACCGAGCTTGATGCGGCGCTGCTTGAAGGTCTTGGCGAAGTGCTCGAGCTCCTCCAGGTCGGCGGTGTCGTCGGCGGCGGGCTCGAGCGCGCGCGGCTTGTGCGCGTGCGCGTGCAGCGGCGTGTGCGCCAGCGCCAGCGCGTGCTGCGGCGAGCGCGCGCGCCCCGAGCCCGGCGTGTGCGGCGTCAGGAACGCGCCCGCGCCCGGCGGCGTCCGCCGCGGCGACGGAGATCTGCCGTCTGCGGACACGACAGTCAATTTGATGCCTCTATTCGTTACGAGACCCTCCCGCATCACTTGAGGAGGTTTCTGGATGAGCGGTGCGCGGTTACCTAGGCTGGGAGGCTGCTGTGCGCCGGCGCGCGCCTGCAGCTGCTGCAGCTGCTGCGCCGCCGCCTGCGCCACCGCCTGCTGCACCTGCGTCGGCAAACGATTCAGCCTTAAATACTTTATACTTCAAATACATATGAGCTGGATTTGCGATCAGTTCTTTATCTATGGATTTTAAGAAAAATTCTGTGTTAAATCTTGACGGCAATTCATAGATATTGTGTATTTATTTTACCGAAAAATCATCAAATTGTACTACAGTGGTATCGGATGCGAGCCGGCGTACGTACCTGCGTGTGGAGCAGCAGCGAGTGCGCGCCGTGCTGCGTGAGCAGCAGGTGCTGAAGCTGCGCCAGCGCGTTGCCGGCGCCCGCTGCATTCTGTGGGCAAACATCGAAACATTATTAACTAAAGTTCATTCCTCGAAAATTATTGAAGTTTGGATTGAAAATCATTGAATCAGACTGATAGGAATAAAAATGTAAGTATTTTAAACAGAAATTAATGTTTATGAACGTTTTATGTCCTCCACTGTCGGATAGGGGAATAGTAACTGTTTCGTAGCAAGAAGCCTGTTAGTTAGTAGTGACAGCGGGTGTACTGACGAGCACGGCGGCGGTGGCGGCGGAGGCGGCGGAGGCGGCGGAGGCGGCGGCGTGCGCGTGCGGCGCGTGGTGCGGGTGCGCGGCGTGCGGCAGCGGCGCGGACGGCGCGCGCGGCGGGGACGGCAGCCGCTCGTCGCCGCTCATCTCGCCCTCGCCGCTCGCCGAACCATCTGCGGACACCAACAATCACTTTACAATGCTAATGTTACCAAATTAACACTTCAGAATGCTTGTCAGCTGCAGCCGTAGCATGGGCTTGAACGTCAGAGATCGCGATTTCAATCAAGTACAAGAAAGTGCATGATTTGCATAGTTCGATTAGAAATAGAGTGATTGTCGAGTCAACTAGGAACCAAACACCCAGTGTACCTACCAAAATACGAATTTTGAAGCCATCATATTTGGATCTAATTTTGAAGCCATCATATTTGGATCTAAGACTGAAATTTAGAGCCATTACCCAGTATGTGGTAGATAAAAAACGCAACTTATAAATTATACCGCCCTAAAAACTGTAATTTATTTAATTAATTACTAAATGGAGTGATGAATAATAGCGATTCTGAAACGTCAAGTAGCAAAGATTCGGAGCTAATAGCCCAGTATTGATGGTGGTGCCCTTCTGTAAATGTCATAATTACCTATGTATATTGTTGTCGAACATGGCAGAAATCGGAACTAATAATCCAGTAGGGTAATTCAAGTGCAATCTGTCATTTCAATCTATTCTATTTGTCATTTAGCTTGTTTAATCTGTGCTGAATAAAGTGCACAATATTTAAGCAGGATATGGTTGCACGCGGATTTTTAGAGAGTTAAATCTTTTGGCCAATAGAAAACGTCATAATAGTTATTATATGAACTGGGATTGGTCAATGACTTTTGAAATTAAAATCCGATGGCCTGAAAAAATCGGTTTTCCAACAAACGTCAGTTACGCGCAAGGAGGTTTAGCTATTTATCCATCGAAGTTAATAAGGGAGAAGACATAAGACTAATTTTATTATTTGCCTGCCGCGACCCGGTTTTTACGAACAATGACGATGACGAACGATGAACCAGTAACGAGGAGCACACTTAGCAATGCTTCCAGGTTGCGCCTCGGTATCAATTAAGTAACATTTTCCGTTAAGTTTACTTTATGGCCAACTAAAGGACTTTTGCCGTCTCCATGGACAAACTCGAAGTATGATAACTACAGTCATTGTCAAAATTTTGCACTGCCATTGCCGCTGGATACCATATATCGCTACTATATTCATAGATAATAGACTTTCAGTTAATCGTCAAAATTGACATTGTTTTTTAAATAACAACAAATGGTATGAATTTTTAAATGTGATATTTTTATAAAGGTAAGTCCCCAAAACAACATTTGATAGCCTATTTTCTTTCGTTGGCATCTAAGTTCCTGTTTTCTACATATATGTTACTACTACCTATTGGATAAGTAACTAAGAACTTTGTCGTTTATTCCATGTGAACAAAATCCCTAAAAGCCCATTTGTAATAATATTCTTACTAAACACTGCTGAAAAAGGACTAAACTTCTGAGCTATGAACGTATAATCCAGTAGCATTAAGTAGGTAGGTACGTATAGCGACGTTGGAACTTGATATAGAAGTTAGCTGTTTTATATTTTTTTTCACAGCAGAAATCTTTATCTTTGATCTTAATATCTGATCGTACGTATTGTCTTTTAAAATATTACATTTGCCTAAATAAAAATAACCGACCTGCTGCTTATGTAAATTATAATTATTTATAACCCTACTTACAATGCATAACAATCATAATTAGGTATTATAACCCTACTTAACAATGCATAACAATCATAAGATAGTTTGGCGTATAAGTAGGTAGGTAGGTACTATCTAGGCCGAAGGTGGAAGCGATCGACCCGGAAATATTCTCAACCATCTCAACTATCATAATATGTATTTAGAACAGTCCCTCCTTACCAATGATATTATAGATACCATTGCTCCTTACCATCAATGCAATCGAGCAGACAAAGGACATTGATAAAAATCGCCCTAAGATTTTCAAAGACTTAGTATGTACCATAATTTTATGTATATTTTATTTATTTACTTGCAAGTGTCCAAACCTATCGGACAAGTTGCAGTTCGAAAAAATATTTTAAAAGTATTTAAACGAAATCAAAGTCACCGACATATTGACAGAGCAGAGACAGAGATGCGCTTTTTTAATTCGATTTAAGTAAATAATGGTATGATCGATTAGACTAGAGTCTAATCATTAGACCTTTAGACGGGCGCAGATCCGCCGCGCCCGCAGCGCTTCAGTGGATTATTGCATTTTTTTATGTATATTTAATCACATTTATTTACCTACATTTACATATTTACTCTTTTCTTTAAGTGTAGACACTGTTTATGTATAAGTCCACTATTGCATGCCGTGGCAACCTATAATTAAGGCAGCACTTAGATTAAGTTAAATACGTTGTAAATATTGATTGTCTTCCAGTGTATGTCTTGTTGGTTGTCCTATTAAATAAATAAAATAAATATTTATAGCAACACAATGTTTAAAAATAAAATTTTTCAAAAACGATCAATTTAATCGATTATGTCTATTCTAAATGGACATCCCTATTTGTTAGTCAAATTGTCATTCACTCGCATCACCTTTTCTCTCTCACTCACTCTTGCTGTGTTGCTGTCTTGCTTGATCCTTCTTTGTGATTCGTTTGTGTTTTAGCTTTTATTTTCGGAACTTTATTAACTACAAACTTGGCTATTCAAACGGACTCTGATTGATTGCAATAACGACATACTCAGCCTGGGATTTACTGTTTTTGTGTGGCTCGGCCAAGGCTCGGCTGGTGGTTCTATGGTGTTAGAAAATGAGCAACTTAATTATACACAACAATGGGCAGCACCTCGATCGGTAAGTACCTACATTTTGCTCTGCAATCTTATGAATAAGTACTAGCCTTGCCAAACTTCTGAATTGCCGTTCTCATGGCGGGTTGTCTTGAAATGAATGTTCCGCTATTATCTGTGGTTCAACCCTGGACAGTGTGGACAGCCAGGCCCGATTCGATTGTAAGAAACTAGTCGATGGTACAGCGCAATGGAGGCATGAGCGAAACAACAATTATGTTGACAATCCAGCTGGTTTTGGTGTAAATCTAAGGAATTATTTACTTTGACACTATCTCCCTGCTCTCAATGAAAGCTTGTTTTGTTTTGTTTTTTGGAACTAAGACTACTAGATTATTATTTTTTGTAACTAAGTTTGTAACACGTCATAATTAATTATTATAACAACAATGCTTATTTACTAAAGCTGTTTAACCCTACCCTCTGACCCAAAATTCTACTAACAGCACATAATATTGAATTATCATTTTTTTTATGGTTTGCGGCTCAATTTATTCAACGCACAGGAGTATGTGTGGCATGGCATGCAATGAATCTATTTATTTTTACAGGTTACAGCTCATGATCTTATATGCACAACATGTTGGACCCAAGCCCAAGATACAACACAAATGCATCTACTTCAAATCTTAGCAGAAAATGTGTGCTTTGCAGTAGAACACTAGAGCCTAGAACACGTTCACATCAGCTCATGTCCCTGAGAACTAACACTCAACATCATATTAACATCAGGAACATAATTGTGGAACGACTAACTCCATTAGAGGTAATGCACGCTAAAGTCCTTATTTAATAAAATGTTATTGGCTATACAATCAGTCTAATTCTTGTAAAGTTATTGGTTTCTGTAAATTAATACTAAAATAAAATAATTTAAGTGCGGGACATTAAAAAACTGATAATTTTTTTAAACTTATTTCTAATTATTATTATTTTTAAACAGGTTACTGCAAATGACTACATCTGTGGGGCTTGTCACTCATTATTGCAAAGAGATACCACACCTACTTCACAAGACTCTCCAGATATGCCAACCGGTGCCCCGGTAGGTCACCAACAAGTTTGTGTTGGATGTGGTTGTTCATTATTGCGAACTTGAAGTCATTGTTTGGATACAGAGAATAATCAAGATATATTAAACATTGTTCGAAATTGGATTCAACCCAGAGAGGTAAGAGCCCTGCCAGTTTTATAATACATAAAAATAATTATGCCGGTTTATTATAATAATAAAAAAGGTTTTTTCCGAATCAGCCTTCCCATCCTTCAACTCCTTCCATTGCTTTCAATCTGCCACTACTCTCATCCATACAGGTTATACAGGGTGGAAACGATAAGTGATCTCACTCGATTATTTCTAAACTACACAAGATATCGAAAAACTGGAAAAGACGACATATCTATACCTACTTATAATAAATCTGTAGAGAGGTCAATTCTGTACATGAAATATAATTTTCAAAATAACTATCAGGGGGTGATACTGATGCCAAAAATGCAATCAGTAAAATTTTTGTCTGTCTGTATGTTCCTTATAGAAACAAAAACTACTCGACGGATTTCATTTCCACCAAATCATGCGGTAATTATTCATAATAACCGGCGATTATTCATAATTTTCACATTTATCACTTTGACCGTAACATCTACACTAATATTATAAAGAGGAAAACTTTGTTTGTTTGGTTGTAATGAATAGACTCAAAAACTATTGGACCGTTTTTATTAAATTCTTTCACCATTCGAAAGCTACATTATCCACGAGTAACAGGCTAAATTTTATTTTGGAAAATAATAGGGTTCCGTAAAATATGTAGGTACCTAATGTAGGCCACGCGCGCGAAGCCGCGAGCGAAAAGCTAGTGGAGTATAAGGTGACAATCGTTAAGTAATTTCACATATAAAAATCATTATTTCATTGCTTGGGGGTCTTGGGGCGAACGATGTATGGACGCAGAACAATATCCTTTATTTTCAAATTTAAGCAAAAAGCATTCTGTGGTTATAAAATACCTATGCTTATTTGCACCTAGTTTATCAATCACCATGTTAATTCCATGCTTTCTATCCAGTCGACTGCTCTAACGACAAGGGTGGGCAGTCGTTGAGATGACAGCGCGAAAATCGTCGGCATCCACTAATTATGACCCTTATGTACCACTATATTGACAAAGTTCTCCGTCTTCGTACGCGATATTGGAAATTTGGCATCTACCATCGGCTGATCTGACATTAGGCGTAGTCTGGCTTTGATATTCAATTTTCAACTGTATTACCTTGACAATCAGTTCAAAATTGATTACTAGAAAATTATTTGACAGACGATTTCTACTCTCGACAAATGCATTTGAATTAGCCCACAGTATTTGATAGTAGCGCAGTTTTCATATTCTGTGTGCCTACCATGAGTTTACGTTAGGTGTGCTCGCTAGCGACTGCGTAAAAAAATGACATTTAAATGTATGACATATTGTGCAGCGCCCCTAGTGGCTACTTTCAAGAAATAAAATCTTCATAGAATTTTTTGACGTATTCGCTAGCGAGCTCACCTAACGTAAACTCATGGTAGGCACACTGAACACAAGTTTAATGTAATTGTTTAAGACTTTATTTGTTTGTAATTTTATAGTAATTTGTGTGTTTTAGTTTTGACGCTTACGGCGACCCCAGTGCCCCTAAGGTCGTTTCTGAAAACCAGTGTCGTGGCACCTTTAACGTCACGAGTCACGACTAATACTGACCCAGGGACCTTTTTGGCACAGGTCACTCAAAGCTATTTTAATTTTAATTTAATTGTGTTATTATTTCTTTTTTCATTCATGTATTCATCTTTTATTATGTGCTGAATAAATTATATTTTACTCTAAGTATTCTATTAAAATATAGACATAGCCCGCAGAATAGCCAAACTTAAGGGGCAGTGGCCTAACCTAGGCTTATCTCTTTTGTAAAAATTTAATGATATCTCATCAATAACATACATCAACAAAATAGGAGCCAAGTTCAATATTCTGCCTTAACTAAAAGTTCTGCCTCATATACTGATCTAGGTGTATTCACCTAGATGAGTAGGTAGTATGCGATAGTGTTACTAGATGACTATTTTTAAAAGGTGTTATCCTGAAAATTGTAAATACTTGTATAAGTAAGTTGGGCGTCTCACATATCCGCCCGGGAGCGCTCACGCGCCGCGTGATGTATGGCGCGCCGGATATTACATGTAAATGACTCCGAAAGACCCGCACCCCACGACGTGACAACTTGGTAGTCATCTTCCATAGACACAACACATACCTACTCGCTGATAATGTACTATAGGCCAGTAGAATTAAACACAAAAATTGATTAAATCGGAAATAATTCCTACAAAAGATTTTTTGCTTTAATGGCTTCATTGGTTGCCCATTAAGACTCTCCTAAGTTTTCGATTTCGACGGAGTTGTGCTTAAGTGGTGGGGGCCCCCGAAAGCGGCGTTTTTTCGGTTTTCCGGTTATACCGCGTAAAGGACTTACCCTATCGAAAAGTGGTCTTCATGACGGTTAAAGGGCACTTAATCCTGCATTGAATAAGACCAAATTCATATGTTTTGGACAAACCGTTCTCGCGCTAAAGTTCGGCAAAGTAGAAAATATACGTATAATTAATGACCCTCTCCACGTCCAATGGCTTGTTACCCACATGCTTCCAAGCCTTGTAAAGGGTCACCTTAACCAGTGTAACCCTAACAAGGCTCACGAGTTTGATTCGCTTATCCTTGTTCGTCCCAGCCGTTCCTTAACTGCGGTTGCTGCACCTCTTCCTGACACTCTCCTGAACGACTCTGTGTTACCTAATGTGGCTGCCTCTCTTCCTTGTACCCTCCTGTACGATTGCATTGCTTAGCTATATGCCTGGTCCAAGGTTCGACGCCACAAAATCAACTTTGTACGCGTGAAAATAGTTTAAATACTATTTTCCGTGCTTGCAACATTTTTCTTTACTGCTTCGCCTCTATTAGTCGTAGAGTGATTGTATATATCCTATAGCCTTCCTCAATGTATGAGAAAACATATGAATTTGGTCTTATTCAATGCAGGATTAAGTGCCCTTCAACCGTCATGAAGACCACTTTTTGATAGGGTAAGTCCTTTACGCGGTAAAACCGGAAAACCGAAAAAATGCCTCTTTCGGGGGCCCCCACCACTTAAGCACAACTCCGTCGAAGTCGAAAACTTAGGAGAATCTTAATGGGCAACCAATGAAGCCATTAAAACAATAAAATCTTTTGTAGGAATTATTTCCGATTTAAAAGCTAATTCTACTGGACTACTAGTAGATTTTATGATCATCAACGAGTATTTTAACAACCGAATAACGTGTAAAATGCTTTTTAAAAGCCTACTTGCAAAAATAAAATGAGTTTTAAGTATGAGTTATTTTTATCGTGTAACAAAGGGTTGAAGCATTTAGTGGTGACGCACCTACAGAAGATGACACCATTCATTGTTTTTTTAAATTTAATATGCACTTTTCTATGATCTTTTTATCTTAAGAACTAGTCTAACATTATTTTTGCCATTAAAATAGATGGCATGTACGATACGAAATAGCGACTGAAAGCTTTTACACACTTATTCGCGCTCGCACAACCATGCCCTATCATGAAGCATGCTAGTAATTTATGTAGTACTTTAAAATGCTGTGTATACCTGTAATTGAGGTCATATACGTATCATGTGTTAAACCATGTTAAAATGTATGACCTGTATTATGTACGTGACATTGTTGGTGTACCTAATAAATAAATAAATAAATAAAATCAGTCAGGAAATTCAAAAAGGTTTTTGATAATAATTTCAATGGGAATGAAAGTAATTTTGCTGTAAACTTTACAGTGTAAAGGCTCTCCAGTGTCTACAATTAGGGGACTAAGATAAATAGCACTCTTAGAATAATTATGTTAGTGTCATTTATTTTCTCAACGCAACAAGAATAGAAACACTTTTCCTTATAGAGCTGAGCGCAAACAAAATGATTAGAATAACAATCAATCAAAAAAAGATAATGTGAATGCAATTTGTCGTCGCTGTAAATTATGCACGTGGCTCGTGCCAGCGATACCCTTCGAGACGTAGCAGATCACGGCGCGCATTGTCACGGCTCCCCGCGCAAGTCGGAGGCCGACAGGTTGTGGGAAGATTAAGTTCTAACAGTAATGTGCGAAGAAAAGAGTTGGGGCTGAGTCAAAGGGGTGGGAAGCTGCGCGTGCGCCGCGCGAGCGCGTGCCTGCGCAGGGGCAGGGCGCTTTGAAACTTTCTCCTGCGCCACCTTCCTTGCAAGCCTAAATAAACAGCCCCTAGACGGAGAGGGAGGTATGTGTAAATATTACAGGGTAGGTACTCGAACTTCTACTATCAATAGAATGTTGTTATTTGACATTGAGTATTTAGATAAAGTAATATAAGATCATCATTCTTTCGACTAAAGAAATACGCGTAGATATGCTGCACTATAAATCCCTTCATATGCAAGTGATTAAAATACTGTTTACGTTAAAAAATTAAAGATAGTTAAATGTATTTTAAAATAACCAAAAATCAAATGGACTTTGCCACAAAACATGACGAGAGGGCAAAATTGACGGCTCGGTTTGGTTGGTAGAAGGGCTTTTTAAGTCTGCTTGGCTCTTAACTTCCATCTCCATCTTAACTAAGTCTGTCGCCTTAACAACAACGTTGACCTCATTGTTGTGTTTCGGCAGTTAGAGGTAAGATAGCCAGTTCCTTTCTGGTTGAGGATTCCGGGTGAAGCGAGCTTCCACCTTTGGCCAAATTTAATCATCACTTTCCATCAGGTGAGATGCAGGCCATGTGGTGGATTCTCAGTCCTCGGTCATTTTATATCCTACTGGGTAAGTATCTATTTACTAACATTAACAGGCCAAAATCTATTTATTTTACACATTGCTGGTGGGCCTGCGAGTATTCTAGAGGTATTCAATACCTATGAATTGTGTATGTACATTATCTAGGTAAAGATAAAACGGACAATAATTAATACATTGCCTAGACACCCCAATTTACGAGATTATTTTAAGTTTATTATTTAATAAAAAAAATACACTTCTAATATTGTGTGGTCGGCATACATTTAGTATGGAAGCTGGAAACATTGAATTTTCGGATAGTTTTATGTTATTCTGAAACCCAATACATATTGGTATCGTTTGAACTCTTGAAGCACTTTCAGGATCAGTAACCAGTTTCTCAATATCGTGTCTAGTTTAGAAATAATTGAGTGAGATCACTTATCGTTTCCACCCTGTATACCTACATTACCTAGGTATGTATACCTGAACTATGAAATACTCATTATTATACTATGCCTGAACTATACACATTGCCGGTGTTCTCATATCCATAAAATAAGTGCATATTAAGTTAAAAATAAATACCTCTAATTTCGCGGCGCGTTTTTTATTTTATAAGTTATAATTTTAAATGTTTTGTTCTTCTAATTCAATAATAAGTTATGTCTTAAATATCATAATTTTTCATTTATCTATATTTATTACTAAATAATTGGTTAATTGTTGTGCAACTATTTCGTGCTCCAATACTTAATTAATAAATATATTAATATAAATTGCAATAAGTTATTATAATTAATGCGTGGATTACGAATTTAGCATATTGGCAGAACAACTATTTGGAAAATTACAAAGCCCTTACTAGGACACACACCTCTGACGCAATAAACAAATAAGATGAGAAGCCGTCGGTAGTTGGCTGCTGGTGATGAGACAGGTGAATTAATATTACACTCGTGTTTATTCACTGGTGCAATAAATGATAATTACACAATATTAATTAATATCTACTTACTGCTCGGGCCAAAGTGTGGTTCGAACAGAATGCTTCATGGCATTAAGCCTGCCTACCCGTTTTTTCTGTGCAATAAAGTTTAATATAAAATAATGAATGTAATGATGTTCTGCATTGTCGGTCGTTGGCTCCGCTGACCAGATCAGCTCGACACTGCAGCCCTCATTAATTAACGACTACTAATTGGCCGGGACGGTAACGCCGCGTCACGTGTACTACTAATAATAATCAATTAGACTTCATGTACGCTTGCTGTTTCTCATTTTCTATACTAATTAACGGTTTTGAATCGATCGCTGCCAATCTGCAGACACGACGTCTGCGGCTTAATTAGGCGGTAGTTAGCAGCAGGATGCGCGACTTTGTGCGGTACGTACCGTGGCTCGGCGGCGGCGACGGCGACTTGATAAGCTCGCCCGACTCTTCTGAAACAAACAAACACGTCGGTTAATATCTAGCTAGAGAATAACAAATGGCACTATTGAAGTTCGCATAAACTTAACAAGCTCTACGCAACCGACCCGCGCGAGCGGCCGAGCGCACGCGGGCGCTCATGGCGCGCGTTTGCCGCGCACGCACGCGGCCTCGGCGACGCCGGCGATTAGCAGCGGGGCCGTGTCACTAACTCGATCAGCCGCAAGCTCGCGCGGGACGTAAGGAGCTTATCGCGCCTTCACACCCGCCGCGCAGGTTTGACAAGGAAGTTTAAGTAGGCACATTGTTAATGTTCTAGAAACCAATTATAGAGGGTATCGTATTTCTTTAAGAGTTTGTCAGTTGTAAATTGTTGGTATCAAATGACCGTTTATCTCTTTTTCGATGTCTTTATACCGAAACTAACCAAAATTAGCGCCCGCGACTTCGTACGCGTGGATCCCGTTTTACTCCCTTAGGGGTGGAGTTTCGTTAAACGATCTTAGAGCACCTACGTTCTAAAAGGAACCCCTATGCAAAATTTGAGACTCCTAGCACGTGACACCTAGCGAGTGAGTCAGTCAGTCAATCAGTCAGTGACCTTTCGCTTTTATAGTAAAAGGTTTTACTTACATAAAAATGTTTATGATATTTTTTAATTATTTGTAACTTGTAAGTTATAATAATTTTATTTGATGCATTGTGTTTTGTTTCCAATTAACCTTATCGCGCCTTACTTTGATGTGACAATAGTTATATCTGCAGAGCCCTCGTACAACGCGCTGGCTGTGGTACTAGTATTCGCAGTTTTTATGTCAAGTGCTAATGCATCCTCCATTTTCAACCGCACACAGACACTTCTTTATGAAGATGAGGTCACAAGTAACTGTGTTCCTTAATGATGTCTGAAATGGTTTGTTCTGATGTGTATGAACTATTAAAAATAAAAAGCTACTAATCACCTTACAATTTTAAACATAATTATAAATCTTTATTATAAAAGATCTTATAAAAACGTTATCCTAGTGTTACGAGCTGCTGTGTTCAAAGGGCGTGCAATAATTAAAAATATAAGTAGAAGCGTGAAAGTAAATAGTGCATTGAGAGTCGGGATAATAAACTAATTAACTGTTATGGTATCTACTTGATATTTTTTAGTATAATTTAAACTATTTGTAAGCTGCGAAAAAGCTATCTCTAAAGCTTGTCACTTCGTAAACACTTCTGCGTTAAAACTAACCTAAAAACAATGTTACGAGAAGTAGGTAGCTGATTAATTTAAAACGATATCAGTATTCGAATTAAGGTGCGGCATCAATACGTAATGAGATTAACTAATTAGACGACACGATTCGGAGGATAATCTCGAAGCTGTAGAGTTGCCTCATCGGGTTACCGCGGGCTGCGCGCAGGCATTTCCACCGTTTTATAACACCAATTGGACAAAATTGATTTTAACGAAACTTGTCAAAGAGACAACATAATTAACTGATTAATTATGTAGGCATTAAACTACGATCAATGCCGAATGAATTACTGTTATTTGAACTAAATAATATTATTAATACAATGTAAAGTGTGTGACGACTGATATTAATCCATAATTGATTTTGAATATTCACATTTCTTTGTTCTATATAGCCCACCCCCAAAACATACACACGCATAAAAATTTTAGTGTCCGACCGAATATGGATTTTCAGCCGAAAACGGAAACGAAAACGAAGCTTCGGCTGCAGTCTCATTTTCGGCCGAAAACGAAAACGAAAACGAAAATGACCTTCAACTCTCAAATTTCAATCTGAAATTATGTAAAAACTTTGAAACCGTTAATGTTTTGACCAAAAACATAATGACGTTTGACAGTTGATTTTGATAAGGATTGATTAATGAAAACCGGCAAAAATTTAATTATGAATTCTTAGTAGAATATTATTTCCGGTGTATATTGAAATATTGGGAAGTGAAGATTGAAAAATGATTATTTATTACTAATGCAAACTGGAGTTTAACAATGCGGATTTAATTTTTTATAGGCAATGTCTTTTAAATGATGCCCGTTTTACTATAGGCACTCTCACAGCCGGACCCTTACATTCGCAACTATGCGAGAGCAAATCGCGCCAATAATTTTCCTGCAACTTCACGGCGGATATTTTCTTACAGAACCTGAATTATTTAAGGATTGTTAGCTGTAAACTTTTGACTTGAGATATCCCCACAAGAAAAAGTCGCATGGTATGAGATCTGGTGACCGAGGCGGCTAGGGTATGTCCCTGTACTTGCTGATCCTCAGTGTCTCCATCGAGGTACTCTCCGTGTGTGGTGAGACACCTTCTTGCTGAAATAGAGTTACGTAGTTGACCGGGGTGCAGTTGCAGTTGTTTTATCAGGCATTCATCGATCATTCGACAATACATTTCAAATACTTATTGCTCAACTGCGAACGCTCTGTAGGCTCCCGACCCGAGTGACTCATGGTGTATTTCAAATCCGCATTAGACTCTATTTTGAAACAATTAAACTTACTGAAAACTCTTTGGTTTTATTTGTATTCAATTTTGAACTTGGAAAATTCTAGCTGGACACCCTTTACAACGTAACCTCATTACCTCACTTCACAACTTCAAAAGAGTGTGACAATACCGCGTCCGTTCAAGTCTGATTGGAACCATGAGTGCACCAGATTCACTACCGAATTTATCGGAACGATAAACGTCACCATCTTATTCACGTATTTCTGATATTCGGTTTGACAGAAGCTTCGGCTGGTTTTTGGCCGAAAACGAAAATATGGCCGAATGTCCATTTTTTGGCCGAAAATGGCCGAAAACGAAAACGAATATTCGGTCGGTCACTAAAAAATTTTATTACTACGATAAGCACTAAAGAAAGTCTACGACTACGAGTATGCTACGACGCTGCTACGAATTGCTACGAAGATATCTATACAAAATAAATGATAAAAACTAAACAAAAACGAAGTATATTTTGAAAAGGATTTTTTGCATAAATAAATACGTGGGAAGACGACATGTACCTGTCTCAGGTAATCTTTGCACAATACGCCGACGTAGCGGATAAAGATTTGCGCCGAGCGTATGCGCGCCATTCAAATGTTGGGGTAATCGTAGAGCAGGACGCTAAAAAACTGTGATCCACGTCTACTGGCTAAAAAACAGCTTTGTGCGCGGGAGTTGCGATTATTGAAACGTCATCGCGGAGCTTCGGCTTTTTGTGACGCGCATTTAGCATTACTCGCAAAAAGGGTACACTCGGAGAAATAACGCCGCGCTATATTATCGCGGATAAAACATTTTTTACCCCAAAATGTGCAGTTGTTTGTTTTTTGCGCCGCATCCTTCCAAATGTAAGCGTTAGGCCGAATTTGTAAAAAAGAATATGTCTGTATTATAGCGGATTGCATCATACGATTTAAAAAATGAATGAAACTTTTAATAGGATATTGTGTAACATGAATATTAATAAGCTAGGTGCATAATCACAATAGTCGTTGTTATGAACCCATTATATTGATCTGCTGACGCAAAACATTACACAATTACAAATTTCTACTCATTAGTAGTATAATAAAATAACTGCGTCATATGCAAATATTTTTAAAGTTAAGCTTTAATTTCCTTATTGGTTAATTTTAATTATTCATTCAATTAATTGCTAATTGCAAGTTACTATTTTTTTTAAATAATATTTTGGGTCAAATACAGACTGAATGTAGGTTTAAATTAGGATATCTATTGCGAAGGGGCTTAGCATCCGTACATAGCATTAATATTACTTAAATGATCTTTCTCACATAACATTAATCTAAATACATATTAATTAAAAAGTACTTACTCATTTTAAATTACAGAAAAAATAATGCCCATAATAAGTTCATTTACTAGGCTATATGAGTACGAGTATGTGTACATTAAAAATTGTATTTTCTATTTTATCTGAGTAAGACTATATTCAGTGAGTAAGTGTGTACACTGGTTGCAGTGTACACACTTACTCACTCAGTGTAACATGTTGATGTTGAGCGTTTGTTGACGGGCCGCAGCTCGAGGCGCGCGACCAGAGCCGGCTAATGACATTTGCATATTTATTCAACACTATAATTGATACAATATTTCTGAAGATCTGCATGAAAAAATATAAACAGAAAGAATAAATTATAGTATATTAAGTTTTTTTTTTTCATAATATTTACAGCTAGAGAGATAAGGCAATGACTAAAACAAGAGCAGCTATAAAATGAATAAACGCTTTAGGGCAATTTACCTTTCCGAGTAGACACAATAGCGAAAAATCCTATGTACTGTATCATAATTATAACATTTGCCTATTGCTTAATTAATTAGAGCATTGGCTAATTGGAATCCAAATTCATTCACTGAAATAGACGTAAACGTATATTTTTTGGGTATAGTATTGGTTACAGTGAGTTTGTGAGAGTATAACTTGATAAATTATATGAACAAAGTTTTGAATAAGTAATATATCTATGTTTTATGCTATCGGCTCTACATTACACTATTTAAAAAAGGTATATCATAAATACTTATTTTCTTAGACAAAGTTCATCAAGAATGATCACTGTTGTTGCTCAAAATCCACCAAGAGATGAACTCTACTATTTTTCAGTTAACATGAAAATGTGGTTTTTTGGGAAAATACTCGTAAAAAGTTCTTGAAAGTGAATGAAAGTCCAAGAGAGTTGCGACGGCGGTACTCACGGTAAGAGTTGCAGTAGGTCCGCGCGGAGGCGCGCACGCAGGCGGAGAGCACCATGATACGGGAGCGAGCGGACGGGAGCGGAGCACACGGCGGGCGCTCGGTCGGCGCGCGGAGGCACACTGACGGCGGCAGCGCGCCCCGCGGCCCCGCACCCTCCAACCGACGTATTAAAATTTCGACTTTTTTGTACGAATCCGTTTCTTTTTCCGCCCTTATAGTGAATTTTTTTCACGCGACCTCGCCATTATTTCGATTACCTGAGATGATTTTTTTTCGCTTTCGACGCGATGCGCGCTTAAAAGCTGTTTAATTTTTTAGGAAAGGGGAACGACGGGTTCGGCTAACCGATGCGCGAATTCCGATATCGGGTTTGATAAAAAAAGGTTGGTTCGAATCGTTCGGAGCGTGTGCCGAGAATCGTTACAGCGTTATTATCGAGCAGAGTGTTCTACTATCTGCGCCTCCATCGCGCCATTGTCGACGTGTAAATAATGACGCCCGAATATGTGCTGCTTTCAAATCGCCGATACATATTCATTAGTCTCATCTGCTTACAGACTTGGACAAATACATCTTAATTTCTTACGACAAGAAAGCCGCATTGTTGTACTTTAACTTGTAACATTAAATGAATTTTAAATTATCACAATCCCGCCATATTATTAACATTCTAGTACTAAAAGCTTTTCTGAGCAATATATTTTTTCAATAGTTTTCAGTCAACGTATCCAGTAGTACAATATGCAGCGAAAAAGGTAGAGTGTTTGCATTGAAATAGGAAATGAGATGGCCGACGTAAGGGCCCTTTGATCGCGGCTATCGCGGAGGTCTCGATTAAAGGCGATGAATAAGAATGTAAACTTCGGAGGTCGGAGGTCGGAGGTGGAGGGCGCAACAATATGCAGGGTCCGTGTAGACTTGCGGGAGGATAGACTTGGACAAATTTTGATAAATTCTCATATTGCAGTCCGATGTTATTTTTTGATATAATATGGTTTAAGATTTGAACGGAACTGCGACTTCGGATATGCGATATCGGTACATAAGAATTGCAATTTAACACACGTGTTTGTTCAGAATAACTCTACGAGGAGTGTTTGTGCGGCACTCGCGGGGCCGGGCAGGTCTGCCGGCAGTGAGGTCTGCTCTGAATCTTTGTGATGGTAATGCGCGCAAATACTGACCGATGAAAGTTTAATTCCACCCCGCGCCCCGCGCCCCCGGCCGCAACTCACTTTGAGCCTCCTCATGCATTGTGATCAGCGAATGCATTTACGTAATGTGCCCGTGTTTGTTTAGGCCACATATTGCTACTTTGAATAAGAAATTGCTCGTCTTTTGTGAGATCCTTCTTCGAACTGTTTACGCAGCTCTCAATCGTGTTGTTTTATTCGCAAATGTTTGCATTACGTTTTTTGGGACACATTCAAACACATCTTTAAACCGACACAATGACAACGGAGCGCAAACATGCGCACTTATCAGAATACGGATACAAATAACTTAAACCGACAGCCACCGTACTACTTTTCATACCGGATGGATATATCTCATTATTTCTATAACTACTTCAAGAGAGAAGTTTAAATAAATGAGCATAAATAATATTAAAAACGTTCGGTGAAAACTAGTTCAAGCACAAACTATTTATTAATAATCGACTATTTATAGATATTACTTAAATTATAATTAATATTTCGTCATGCTCCGCTGAATGTTCTTAATGACGTACAATCGTATTTTGATCTTGTGAAACGACTGCCTTGAGCTGTTTCATTCTGGAATATCAATTTATCGTCCATCATTAGGAATTTTAATATCTAATTAGTTCGGATGGATAATATTCGTAGCAAATTGAGGTTCGTAGCGTCTGCTACGTCGTAGCGGCGGTCAGCGCAGGGCGAGGCGGAGGGCGCGGGCCCCTTGTTTCACTCGCGGACATCGCATGAACACTGATTTCTATATTCGCGAGTTTTATGAGGTGTCGCGAGGGTCGCGGCCTCCGCGAAGGGTTGAGCGTGATAACTACCCCGTTTAGGGGCAGAAACTGAAATAGCTAATAATCGTATTTTGACTTACTGTTTATAGCGTGTTTTAATATAAAAAAGAATTGCCGTTTACGCAATACTTATATTTCATTTGTATTGTTTATGAGGCCATAAAATATGGTTGGGTACCTAATTAATTCCTAAAATGGTTTTGGTAGAGCTTTTCGCAATTACCCACTACAGCGATACAATTTTAGTATAAACTAGCTTTTGCCCGCGGCTTCACCTGCGTGAAATTTAGTTTGTCACATATCGTCCAAAATTATAGCCTATGTATTATTTTGGGTTATGAACAATAATACTGTAAAGTTTCATCCAAATGCGTTCAGTAGTTTTTGCGTGAAAGAGTAACAAACGTCCAGACATCCAAACTTTCGCATTTATAATATTAGTAGGATATACTATTTGAAACTTCTGTAAATTGGAATTAAGAAAATTTTTGTGTCAATTTAATTAATTTATATTTAATTAATTTCAATTAAGTTTTACATAGTTATAATTGCACACAATAAAGACTGTGGCAGGCTAAAGCCCACGCGACTACGCGAGCGTAGCTGCGGGCAGAAGCTAGTACAACCAATAACGTTGAGGAAAGTTGGGTAGTTTGCAAATGCCTGCAGCGTACGTGTTTATAGACAAAACATGTGTCTGTCCGCCGCCGATCTCGCGGGGGCCATTCCGCCGGACGGCCATAAATCTCGCCGGTGCAGCGCGCGCGCGGGCGGCGGGCCGGCGGGCCGGCGGCAGGTGGCCCCTAATGTGTTTATTCATAAACTCGTAAAAGACAAGGTATCAGCTGGTGACCGATTCATTTGTTTTGTAACATACCGCCTGCGCTATTTTCGTCTCGTAAAATTTTGCGTAATGCTACTTTTTAGGATATTTTATCAGATTTTACTTTGATGGGGTCATGGATTAACTAGGTAATTATGGTAAGGATTGTTCGTTAATGTAATAATTCAACTCGCCATAAGGAATCCATAAAGTTACAGCTATCGACATGGAGGTTGTTAAATTTTGTGTAAGTACCGTTTAGTTTCGTCAACGAAAAACAGCAATTACATAGCCAAAGAATAGTCAATTGTCTCGGCGCTTATTACGAGCGGCCGATCGCCGATCTGCGCGCTGACAACTGCCCGCGCGATGCTATCGGCGCTCGGCATTCTGTTTATTGTTCACGAACCAAAATATGTAGCGTGATTTAGATAGTTTAATCTAAAGAGCACAGTAAGCTTTTATGCTTACTTCATTATCTGGCTCTACTCTTTTCCTATAGTTTATTGTTACACAAGTAAACTTCTTTGTTTATTTGTTTCGATGTCATAATCATAACGTCTATAAAAAATCCGCGAAGAGTTCTGAAGCTGTGAAGTTTCTAGAAACAAACTTTTTTATTTTTAATGTATTTTGATCTTCACCCTGAAGATTTAGGACTCACACCGAAAGCATCAAGAGCGTCGTGTAATATTGAAAAGGGTTAGTGCATCACGAGTGGAGTAAACCATTAAGGAGGCCAGAAGAGGCATCCGTCCCGGCTCCCTCGGGGGCCATTCCGCTGGCAGGACGTTGCTCACCTGTGGAGGTCCCACACTGTCCTGTGTCCGCGTATTATAGCTCACTTTATTATTTTCTAAACGAATAGACAAATAATGTAGAAAGAAGTGTTAGCTAACATGTGTGAGGCTCTACATAATGGGCATATAATTTAATAAATACTTATTAGTAATACTGGATAAAGTATCCAGTCTTAGTTGAATATAATTCATTAAAAATGCTCTACACTATTGCGGAATAAATGAACTAGTAAACATTATAAAGGGAATTAACTAATGTAATAAAAATTAAAATAAATAGTAATAGATAAGTCTTTTAAAATATCCACTAAATTATAGACAATAACCGATTGTCATTTATTTATTGGTTATTTAATTTAAGTACACCGGTTTAATTTGAGAAGGAAAGTGCACTTGGGATCGAAAATGAAGTCGGAATAAACAAAAATTAAAAATACTTGTCAAATTATGAAAATGGCGAGTTCATTAATGATTCAACATAAACAGATTATGAATGTTTCCAAACATGCTCGTTGTTCTTGAAGCTCGTATTGTGTAGTCAGATCTCGGGCTTTTTAATGAAATCTTTGCAGAGGGCAGGGGTCGGCCATGTTGCATTAGCGCTGTATTTGCATTTTCAATTCGGCGGAGGGGAGGGCCCTCTAATCCCGCGCGTACAACTGTTCACGTTCGCCGCTAGTCGCCCTCATTTACATAATGTGCCGTGAAATTTGCTGTCAAATGAAACAGCAGTGACTTTTGTTCGCTATTTTAGCTGATCAACATAGAACCAGCATAGCAAATTTGAAGTCGTTTGTATATTAGGATTAAACTATTATTCCGAACCTGACCCGAAAACTTACCCCAGTTTAACTATCATAAAACAAAATTAAGATTAGACAGGAAACATTACATGTCGGCAGGCTTTGAGAAAATAATAGAGAAACGATGTAGAGGAACGAATGCACCGCCGTCGCATAGTTTGGGGTAGAAGTAAAGTGAGAAGTGTCTACCTTTGTATTAAGTTTAAATAGTAAATATTTAAGAAAGTGTATAATCAAGACCCATCACATATTTTACATTATAATCTACGTAGCCGACTTTACAATTACGCATCGCCGGCTCTAATTAGATTTGTATAGAAAAAATATTTGCGTAACCGTTTCTTGCAAAGTCAACGGACGAAGAATGACAGTTAATTTGTTTACTGGCCGATTACAGTTACACGTGGAGCGCCAATTATTTGCATGTCGCGATGATGTAACGAGAACAATGGCGGCCGGGCGGGGCGCGCCGGAGGGGGCAGGGGCTGGGGGGCAGGGGGGGGCTGATTGAGGCGCTAATCAATAGCTGCAGCTGCATCGCCCCCGCCCGCGCCCGCCAACAACAGGTTGAACTATACACAGACGCTTGAGATTGCTTTCTTACGCCGTCGCGACTTAGTTCATCTGTGAAATATTGATATTTTATGGTGATAACTAACGGCCCGCTCCGGCTTCGCACGGGT